AACGTTATATTTGGAATAAAGGAATAGAAGAAAAAGAAAGAGAATATTTTATTTTATTTTTTAATTTGATTACTTATTTTAATAAAAAAAAATATAATATATAAAAATATAATTTCCCTTGTTTTCTTTTCCCTCTCTTTCATTCTTCTTAGTTCAAGTATAGGATAAAACAAAATAACAAAATAAAAAAACATGCTAGAAGAGTTGCGAGGGTAGATCCACTAAACTGTTAAAATTACACATTTAAATTAATTTAATTAATATTTTATTAATTCATAATATTTTTGTAAATAATTAACTATAATGTTTAAAAATATTAATTTATAAATTAATTTTAATATTTCAAATAATAAATATTAATTATTTTATTAATTATAATTATTTTTAATAATTAAAATTTATTATAATATTTTAAATAAAAATAAGTATTTTTAATAAATACAAAAAAATAAATAAATTTTAATTATTAAAATTTTATATAAATATAATATACAAAATTTATACATATGAATAATGATAAGCGAAACGATTTTGAGGGAGGAAATCGAAAGACAATAAGTAAAATAAGATCAAATTGATAATTACTGTTGAGACTGCTTCATTTGTCCTCTTTCAATTTCGTCCCTAAAATCATCCCGCCTATCCTTACTTTATATGTATATAAATTTTTTACGTACCTCTTATCACAATATATAATTAATTATTTTGTTCAAAAGTCTACTCATCGTCGTAACTCCTAAGTATTAGACTCAGGTGTAGTTCTGTGATCTAATGAGAAAATCTGAACGATAATAAATGTTGTTGTGCATGACAGTACGTCAGCAAGCAACACCATTGAAATTTACCTCTTACAGATGCAGCGACTTAGGGCATGTTTAGTGGACCTTGTTCAGTTTTCTAATATTATTTATATTTCTTGTTTAGTGGATCTTATATGAAATTCAAGTGATTGTGCTCAAATTCCACCGACTCTCTGACAATTTCACGTCCCCCCACCACTAGATGTAAAAAATTGTTCATGTTCAAAAAAATAAAAAGCAAGCAACATTATTGCTGGGCTAATAAATGACGGACCCCCATGACATAAGTGATATCCCTAATCCTGGAAACAGAGAGGAGAGAAAAAGGAAAGAAATGACAATTATATTTTTTTATTTTTTATTTAAATAAATAATTATATTAATAAAAAATAAAATAAAAGAAAGTTTTTTTCTACTCTCACATTTAAATTTTTTATAATCAGATAAAGAATTTTTTTTCTTTTCTTTTTTTCTATTCCATCAGTCCAAACATATTCCAACGTTATATTTGGAATAAAGGAATAGAAGAAAAAGAAAGAGAATATTTTATTTTATTTTTTAATTTGATTACTTATTTTAATTAAAAAAATATATAATATATAAAAATATAATTTCCCTTGTTTTCTTTTCCCTCTCTTTCATTCTTCTCAGTTCAAGTATAGGATAAAACAAAATAACAAAATA